CCCGCGGGGGCGGCGGCGGGACCCCCGCCCGGAGCGGTGCACGGCTGCCGTCCCTGCCTGGGGCCGGGCGGCCCGCTCCCCCGCGGGGAGGGGCTGTTTACCTGCGGCAAGTCCACGGCGTGGCTCCGCCCCCCGCCACGCAGATGCCGCGCCGTGATGACTTGGCAAAAACCGTTTAAATTAAATTAGTGACTGGTCCCTTTTCCTCTGGACTCGGGGGTAGGGCGGCTGGGGCTACGTTTATTCCAGGCGTGTGAGGAGGTTGGGGGCGGAGATGGCGACGGGGACAGGAGTCCACCCACTGTGCAGCAGCCCCTGCCCAGTCCGGGGGTCCGGGAGTCGCTCCTGGCGCTGGGGGCTCCGGCACCGCTGTCGCGAGGCGGTCCCCAGGTCGCGTCCATATCTCTCTGCCCGCCACGCCATCGGGTCTGAGGCTTACCGTCCGTATCCCCAGTTCCCGACCGCCGCCTTTCCCGCTGCCCTCCTGGGGACAAGTGGCCACCAGCCCCGAATCTGGCCAACTGTCTGCAGGACCCTGTGGTTCAGCGACTTCCTTCATGCTGTCCCCTTCCCGCTGCATACGTGCACCATCTTTATAAAACATTTAGTGTGGTTGGAGTTTTAATTTCAGTCATTCAATAAGTCTTGTGCCCCAGTCCTTAAGGCTGTGAAGAGAACTGTTGGGAGGATGGCTCTGAATCCTCCCTGGGCTGAGGAGATGTGCTTGATGTGGCTCCCCTGTCCCCCTGTGTTTCTGAGCTAAGACACCACCTGGCTTCCACCATCTGTTACTTGCTGGGGCAGCCCAGTACTGTGCAGTATTCCCCCTCCCCCCAGGTAACCCAGTCATCTGGGAAACACTTTGTGCACGAAGTGCTTCTAGGAGCCAAGGCCACAGATCTCAATGCACGTGAAGAGCTGTGATTCCAGGTATCTGACAGATCTTCGTACTAGCAGTTTCTGCCTTTCAGCAGAAGCTACCCTCTCTTCTTCGTGCACCAACCTGCCTGTCTTGGAGGCAGTAGGCAGACCTATGTCATGAGGCACTGGACCTGAGCTGGGCCAGCCTCACAGCCACTTCAGGCAGCTGCTGGTCCAAGTCAGCCTGTAAGGATGGCAGGCACAGACCAGGTCAGACCCTGACTGCCCTCTCTGGGCTCCAGCGAGTGTCTGTTGGGGGCATCCCCCAGCTGTTGCTGAGCCCATTTAACCTAAGAATCTGCAGCTCAGGTTTGGGATAGTGTGGGACTTGCCATGTCAGTCCTACCCTGCTCCTTCTGGCCCAGACATGGATGTCTCAGGACCCATCCTCAGTGCCTGGGGGTGTGCATCTCCAGCCCTGCACTGTTTAAGGAACCACCCACTTATGCACAGAGCTGCTGTCCATGTGGTGCAGGAATAGCCACTTTGGGGCAGAAGAGATGGGGAGGAGGGTTCCAGCACAGTCCACCCGGCTGTACCCTCTTGGAAGCAACCTGGGCCCAGGTGGACCCTGTGGGCTGAGGCTCTGTTTGGCACACAGCTGACTCAGGTCAGAGTAGAGGATGGGGCCCTCTCTAACCACTGCAGCCAACAGGAGTCAGAGGTCACACAAAACCTCGGTCGTCACCCATACAGGCTCACCTCAAGGTAGAAAGGCAACTGGGTTACTTGGGCATTTATTTCAGGAGTGGGTGGCAGTGACTGCCTAGTGGCAAGAACAGGCCAGCTGGAACCAAAGTACAGCAGGAACAACTCAGACCGACCCCATGGCCCTTTCCCACACACACGGCCCCAGCTACAAGACAAAGATAGGCCACAGGAGTCACAGGACAGACAGGAATGGTGACATGAGCTAGGCCAGGCAGAGCCCAGGGATCCTTAGAGAAGGTACACGGTGGGTCAGTCACTGCAGATCAACCAGGCTTCTGAAGGAAGGACTCGAGGATCCTAGCACTGCCAAACATCCAGGGACAGGGTAACACTTAGGCACAGCTGCATGTGGAGAAGCAGACAGTTGGGATTCTACCTTTGCCAGTGTGGGTTTTACAGAGGCACTGATTTATCCCTTAGGCTGCACAGGGAAGGGTGATGCTGATACTAAGTGTCCAGAAGACAGGAGCCACAGCAGCCCAGGTGGCAGGATGAGCTGAAGGGGCTGGGCTGGGAGCTGAGGCTGTAGCAGGTGTAAGCAGGAGTCTGGGGGACACCAGGGGAAAGGCAGAGCTGGGGAATTCCCTAAGCCCATCCCTCGAGAAGACAAGCAGTGGTGCTCACCTCTGCAGAGACTGCAGCTCAGGAGGTAAGTTGCACCCTGTGTAAACACCATGGGTGATGCTGTACTCTAACAAAGCGCCAAAACAGGGGTCCTGGGAGCAACAAAAATGAGCCTGGCATTAGTTGAGTGAAGGTCCCAAACCACCTGGGGGCAGTGCACCTGTCTCAAAGGCCAGTCATAGCTCACAGTGCCTGTAAACTCACTCGCACAAGAACATGAGGGTTTCCCAGCACAATCAGCAAAGCTTTGGGTCTGGTGATTGCAACATTAAATCTTTTTGAGTTGGACAAGAAACCCAAAAAATAACGATCATCTTCAAATCTATCTTCATTTGACCGTACCTAAAAAAGGACAGAAATGAATAAAAATAGTATTTTAAGTTTTTTGTGGGCATGATAAATGAAAACATTTAGAAATCTTAAACAACAGTATGACTGCATTTTTGGTTCAAAGAGCAGCAGGGTGTGGCAGGGAGCAGAGGGAACAGCCTCAGCACCTTGGTCTGTAGGCCCAGAGATGACCCCCTTCCTCTCCCTGCCTCCACTAAAGGGTTATTTCCAGATGGTAGGGTTTTAGTTGATTTTTTTTTTTTTGGTATATGAATTTTCTGTACTATTTGCAATGAACATGTATTGCTCAATACAAGATACTGCAACTTAAAATAAAAAAGTCTAGAAAGTTGGATTAATTTTTTGTTGGTGGCACCACTGCAGCCCTGTTGTGGCTAGGTGACTGCCCTCCTGACATCTGCCCTGCTCCTCTGCTGTCTTTTGACATTCTGCCTCTCCTCCTCCAGCACATTCACCATTCACCATTCTGTCCTGGATCCCTTCCTCTTTACTCCTGTCTCCTGATCTTTGAGTACAATTTTAAAAATAACTTCCTATGGTTCCTGCTTACAATGGTGCAGGGACCTAGTGGCTCCATCCTGCACCGGCCCTTCTGCCTCCCTGATCAGCCACGTTTTCATGTCCAAAGGACCCAGAACCCCAACACCAGGTGACTTCAAGCCCACTGTTTGTCCTACTAAAAACAGGATACCTACAGTTGAAATGATGATAACCAAATATTCTTGCCCTTGAAACTCCTCTACTGATCCAACCTTTATATCCATCAGATCAACATTTCGCAGGAGGATTTTGATTTTCTCCACCTTCAAAACAGATTAAAAGGAAGATTAAAGATGACACTGTGCAAATATGACCAGTTCTTTCACATCACAGTGAAAACCAAATATTAACCCATGTGCAATACTGCTTTTCATGCTGCATCCTATTTCTTCACATCTAAATTGATGAGAACACAAATCCTGATTTTAGATCACTTGGGGAAAGGAATCAATATTCATTAGGGAAGCCAATGAAAATTTTCAGAGGGAAACTCTTCCCTCTCCCTACAAGCATGTGGCAAGGATGGAGGAAATACATTTGCTGACAAGTGAGAGGTTGAGTGCTTACTGCTTAAAATTGAGATGTGCATCTCGGTGGACAATACCTGAACCCACAGCTGGTGCACCCCTAGGACGCTGACAGGTTGCTGTGGCCAGGACTACAGGGCCCAAGCACAGAGGCTCATGGTGGCAGGGCCAGGCTGAGATGGGAAAATCACTTGAATCCAGGACTCTGAGACCAGCCTAGGCAACACAGTGTGAGACTCTCTCTATATAACAAAAAATTAGCTAGGCGTGGTGGCAGGTGTCTATAGTCCCAGCTACTTGGGAGGCTAAGGAAGGAGAATCCCTTAAGTCCAGGAATTGGAGGCTGCAGTGAGCTGTGATGCTCATGCCTGGGCCACAGAGCAAGAGCCTGTCTCTATAAATAATTAAGTGGATAAAGAGATAGGGCTTTAAACCAAGTATGTTTTAGACCTTTGGAGACAGAAGAATAAATCCACAAGAAAGACAAGTAAAATATAAAAAGGATCAATTTGAAATCTCAGAAAAAAAGTACTGAATAAAAATAAAACTTGATGGATGTATGAACAGCTGAGCCACAGAACCAGGCAGCCTGCTGAGTGGGCATTCACCCTGAGTGCAGTTCTCAGGGCCACGCAGACAGGTGAGAGACAAACACTCAGAGGCCAGAGGGTGGACTTGGAAGTTGGACATGTTGTCCACTAGCAGTTCCAGAGCAGAGCCTGGAGGAGCCGTGGAGGCCTGAGGAAGGAAACTAAACACTGTCCCTGCTATACAACACCAAGAATAAGGGAACTAAAATTATGGAAAAAACCACATTATTTAAAGATAAATTAAAATTAGACAAACTGTAGATGCCTCAGCATAGTATGCAGACAATGGCAAGGTATCTTCAAAGCACTGGGGAAACAGCTGAACTAAAATTTGGGGAGGCGTCTGTGGCTCATTGAGTAGGGCTCTGGCCCCCTATACTGAGGGTGGCAGGTTTGAGCCCAGCCCCAGCCAACCTGCAACAACAAAAAAAATAGCCAGTGGGCGGCTATTAGTCCCAGCTACTCGGGACAGTGAGGCAAGAGAACTGCTTAAGCCTAAGAGTTTGAAGTTGCTGTGAGCTGTAAGAGCACAGCACTCCACCAAGGACAACAAAGTGAGGAAAAAGAAAGATTAGATTTGAAGCAGCCAAAGGACCTGGCAAATAAACATGTGTAAAGGTTCTCAAGTCACAGACCATCTCAAGGGCCAGCTTCCAGCATGCCCTCTCCTGTCTCACAGGATGCCTGCCGCTGAATGTGGACCTGAACATGCATGTCCTTGGGAGTCAGGGCAGCCCTCATATGGCCCCTGCACATGGGCCTGAGGAAGGTTTGTCATGATGGGACATGAGGGCAGAGGAAGCAGCCTGGGTGGGTGAGCACCTGCTGTGCCCACAGGCCTTCGGAGATGGGGTTACCCTGCCTCTGCACAGACCAGCAGGCCCTGGTCGCACCATCTGGCTTGTCCTAGGCCACACAGACAGCAGCATAATATTGTGGTGAGGGTACAGAGAAGGGACACAGGGATTCACATCCTGCCCTGTGGACCTTGAGTTACCCCATGAGAGAGCTGTGAGGGACTGTGACTATTCTGAGTACTAGGACTCAGGGTATGGAGCAGGCCTGGAGAACCCTGGAGATGAGAGGAGGGTGAGACTGACAGGGACACTGAAGGGGTCTGTGCACGGGCTGCACTCTGCTGCTGGTTCCTAGGCCTTGCCTCCTGCCCACCCGAGGACCTGACTCATCATCTGCTGACTATGCTGGGCCCAGCTGGCCAGACAGCAGCCTTCTCTCCGAGGCACTCAGAGGCCTGCTGAGTGTGAGCTTCTGTACCTTGCAGTAGGAATTAAATGGTGAGTCTGGCAGAGTCACCAGCCAGTGCTCAGGAAAGGTCACAAGTTAGTGGAGCCAGTGAGTGAGAAGGGTTAGCACGGAAGCCCTTTAGGCAGAACAGGCTGTGAGGGGTGATGCCCAAGTTGACTAAAGGATGTTGCATGCTCAGAAAATCCACCAAAGACATACACAACCCAAGAAATGTTTTTCTTTTTTTTTTTTTAGATGGTCTCACTATGTTGCCCTCAGTAGAGTGCCATAGTGTCACAGCTTACAGCAACCTCAAACTCTTAGGCTTAAGCAATTAACCCATGTGCAATACTGCTTTTCATGCTGCATCCACAGCAACCTGCAAACTCTTAGGCTTAAGCAATTCTCTTGCCTCAGCCTCCCAAGTAGCTGGGACTACAGGCACCTGTCACAACATTTGGCTATTTTTTTGTTTCAGTTGTCATTGTTACTTTAGCAGGCCCAGGCTGGGTTCAAACCCACGAGCCTTGGTATATGTGGCTGGCACCCTGCCCACTGAGCTATGGGTGCTGCCACAACCCAAGAAATTTTATGCTTCAAAAGCTGCTGGCCTTTGGGTGACAATGGTGACAGCCCAGGAGGCTCCAGTCTGGGGCTCCCTCTCTGGGTGGTGGGCCACGTTTGACAACTCCATGAGTCCTCCTGAGGCTGGACATGCCGGAGATAAGCAGGCCCAGAGCAAAGGAACAATGGGGGGGAGGGGGGGCCTCAGACAGCAAAGCCCAGCTGAAGCCCTTGTGGGACTTTATAGCCTGGCGCTGAGCACAGCTGCTGCCTAACTGCTGGCCAGCCAATAAGCTGTGCAGACACAGGAATGACCTGGCTTAAAAAATAATAATTAAATAAAACTCAACAGGGATACTAGCTGTCACCTACTACAAGGAGAGACATTACAGATTTAGTTCAGGCAGTTGCTAAACAAAGAATAAACAAAAACAACAAAGCAACAACAATCTCCTGGGAGGAGGTTATTATAATCCAAGTTTGTTAGAATATATTTTTGGAAATTCCTGGTTTGAACCAAAGATTATAAGATATGCGAAGAAGGCTGGGTGCGACGGCTCAAGTCTTCAATCCCAGCACTCTAGGAGGCCAAGGTGGGTGGACTGCTTAAACTCAGGAGTTCAAGACCAGTCTGAGCCAAAGCGAGACCCAGTCTCTAAAAATAGCCAGGTGTTGTGGTGGGTGCCTGTAGTCCCAGCTACTTGGGAGGCTGAGGCAGGAGGATCACTTGAACCCAAGAGTTTGAGGTTGTGGTAAGCTGTGATGCCACAGCACTCTACCGAGGGCAACAGTGAGACTCTGTCTCAAAAAAAAAAATAAATAAATAAATAAATACAAAAAGATCCATAGCTAGACACATCATAGAAAACTATTGAAGCCCAGATGCAAATGCTGAGAGCAGAGTGTGCAGAAGGGCAACTGCTCATCCATAGTCAGGGGCCAGGAGGCAATGGGGTCATGTGCTCAAAGCACTGAGAGTAAAACACAACAGATATCAGCCAAGAATTCCACAGCCATCAAAACTACCCTTCAAAAAGGACACAGAGGCCAGGTTTGGTGGCTCATGCCCGTAATCCCAACACTCTGGGAGGCCAAGTGGATTGCCTGAGTTCAGGAGTTTGAGACCAGCCTGAGCAAAACCATCTCTATTAAAATAGAAAAACTAGCTGGGTACTGTGGTGGTGCCTATACTCCCAGCTACACAGGAGGCTGAGGCAAGAGGACTGCTTGAGCCCAGGGGTTTAAGGTTGCTATAAGCTATGAAGCCTCAGCACTTTAGCCAGGGAGATCAGAGTGAGACTCTGTCTCAAAAACAACCCCCACTTCCACAAAAGGTCAAAGACAAACATCCCTTTAAATTAAACCCAGATGAAAGAATTTGCTGCTTAGATTTAGGTGAAATACCCAAGGAAGCCTTCAGTCTTCAACAGTGCAATAGTAATTTTTTTTTTTAATCTTATAGGCCAAGGATTAATTTTCACTCATTTTCATCTGAAAGAATTTCTTACAATATTTACCATCTTAAAAAAAAAAAAAACCCAGCAAGAGATTTAAGAAAGGCAGATTGGTCACTTGGTTGAGAAAAATAAAGTATGAAAGACTGGTACTCAGGAGCATGAATATGTTTGCACCCAGAGATAGCCCATCACACCTGCAGAACATAACTGGTACTCTCTGTATCCACAGCTAGGCCATGCTATGCCATGGACGGCCTTACAACCTAACTGTTGAGAGGCAAGGCGCCTGGTGTGAAATTGCCTTAAATCCAATTAGCTATGTGACACTCAGCAAATTACTTACCTCCTTCAGGTCTTTGTAACCTGCCCTTTACCCTAACTGAGCGCTGCCCCTGGGAGGTCCCTTAAGGAGGGCACTGGACATTAGTGTGTGCTCAGTAAGGGTGTGTCATGACTGCCTATGGGCTCAATCTTTTCTTCTACTTTGTGAGGGTTTCTCTCAGATGCTGTTTCATGGTACGTGTGCCAAAGCAAGACATTCCAGCAGGACTGTAGTCTGTATACCTGGCATGGCCCATGATTGTGCCCCGGCATAACCCCAGGCAACTGAGAGTGATAGCTAATGTCTCTGTTGAGTTTTACTTATTATTATTTAAGCCTGGCTTCCCAGGGGTCAGTGACCTCTGTGCAACTTACTGCCGTTCCTGAGAGTAGCACATGAGGGCCAGGGATCTCAACACCCCTATAATCACATGATGGTCATATGAAATGAGAACTATCCCATTAAAAATGTAATAGCACCCCCCCACACACACACACACACTGGTTTATAGCCAGGGTTGGCAAACTATTTTTTTTTTTTTTTTGAGACAGAGCCTCAAGCTGTCCCCCTGGGTAGAGTGCTTTGGCATCACAGCTCACAGCAACCTCCAACTCCTGGGCTCAAGCGAGTCTCCTGCCTCAGCCTCCCAAGTAGCTGGGACTACAGGCGCCCACCACAATGCCAGGCTATTTTTTGGTTGCAGCCGTCATTGTTGTTTGGCGGGCCTGGGCTGGATTCGAACCTGCCACCTTAGATGTATGTGGCTGGCACCTTAGCCACTTGAGCCACAGGTGCCAAGCCGGCAAACTTTTTCTTAAAGGGCCAAATACCAAAGATTTTAAGTAGTCCTTATACTGACTTCTAAAATGTCACTATTTAGAAATGTAAGAGCCATTCTAGGCTCCGAGCTGAGCAAAGCAGGCAGCTGGACTCAGCCAATCGGCTATCGTTTGCTGGGCTCTCGTGTAGAACATCACTTAGGTGTGGTCCTGCTTCTTTAGAAACCTGTTGCTCTTGACATGGAGCCTGTTGCTGCCTCTCACAGACCCCAGGGACTGAGGAAGGGCCACAGGGACCTCTTAGAACAAGGCTGTCTGAGTATGGGTACCTGCTTCCGGTAGGGTGTGATGACGCCAATGTTGCTGGCAGACACCTGACTGGAGACACTCCGGGCCAGGAGGCAGCAGTAGCGCATGACCTGGACAGCCTCAGCAGGGTTGAACCACGATGGGCTTCTCCCTTCACGCGCCTCATTGCCCTGAGTGGATTCGGAGAGAAAACATCATTTACACTACAAACATTTGCCAAGGGCCTATGGCCAAGAAGCTGAAGTAGGTGCCGAGAACAGAGAACAGGACAGGATAGCAGACACTGCTCTAATGCAGAGCTTATATCTAGTGAGGCAGGCATCATCACAGAACTGGCTGGAGGACCCAGGGGAGGAGCAGGGACAGGCTCCTGGACGGAGGCCAGCTTGGCCTCACACAGGGTGTGCAGGGTCTGCCTGCAAAGGGCTGTGTGTGCTGAGGGAGCTGTAGAGCCTGGAAGGTAGCAGCACATTATGCCAGGTGGGAAAGAATGCCAACACGGCTGACTCCAGGGAGCCACAGCGAGAGCAGATGGCATAGCCAACGAGGAGGCCACAGCCACGGCCAGGCCATGGCAGCTGCAGCAAGGCCCTGTCCCAGTCCAGGAGCTGCCCACTCACTCAGCCATGGGGCTGGCACTCTTGGCTCACCCTCAGCTGCATCTGAAGCACCGTTTGCTCTTGGGTCTTTCCTATCTGAGAACAGATGACACTACTCATCTCTCAGACACTCTTCCTTCCTTAAAGACCATGATATACTGGCATAAAGACAGACATACAGATGAATGGAGAGGAATAGGACAGAGAGCCAGGAGTAAACGCTCACATCTGTGGTCAAGTGACTAGACAAGGGTGCCAGGACCATTCAATGGGGAGAATAATTTTGAGACAGGGTCTCACTCTGTTGCCTTGGGTAGAGTGCCATGGTGTCACAGCTCACAGCAACCTCAAACTCTTGACCTCAAGCGATCCTTCTGCCTCAGCCTCTCAGAGTGTTAGGATTACAGGCTTGAGCCACTGCACCTGGCATAGGAGAATAGCTTTTCAACTAATGGTGCTGGGAAGACTGGACATCCTCATGCAAAAGCATGAAAATGAACCATACCATACACCATATATTAGAATTAATTCAAAATGGATCAAAGGATGGCGCCTGTAGCTCAGTGAGTAGGGAGCCACATCCACCCAGGCTGGTGGGTTTGAACCCAGCCTGGGCCAGCTAAAAAAACAATAACAACTGCAACAACAACAAAAAATAGCCAGGCATTGTGGCAAGCACCTGTAGTCCCAGCTACTTGGGAGGCTGAAGCAAGAGAATCGCTTAAGCCCAAGAGTTTGAGGTTGCTGTGAGCTGTGACGCCATGGCACTCTACCCAGGGCAACAGCTTGAGACTCTGTCTCAAAATAAAAAAACGGATCAAAGACCTAAGCATAATGCCTCTATCTATAGAACTCTCAGAAGAAAACAGAGGAGAGATGGTCCCCAACACTGGATTTGGCAATGCTTTCTTGGATATGAACCAAAGCCACTGGCAGCAACAAAAAGACTACATCAAAATAAAACATTTCTGTGCAAAGGACAGAGTCAACAGAATGAAAATAACCTACAAAATGGGAAAGAACATTTTCGAATCATACAAGGTCTGACAATTAAGTTTGTGAACTCATTTTAGAAAAAGTGCCACATACCTCCTTGCTGAATAGCACTATGGTTGCCTTTGAAGTCCTCCCCTTGGGAAGCTGTGCACCGACACTAGTGCCTAGTCCACCCTTCAAAGTAACTTGGGAACTCTTTTTCTGGAAAGGCCATCAGATCTGTTGTCATATTACCCTTGATGTCCTGAATGTCATCAAAATGTCTTCCTTTCAATATTCCCTTTATCTTCAGATAAAGAAAAAAAGTCATTGGGGACAGATCAGGTGAGTAGGGAGAGTGTTCCAATCCAGTTATTTGTTTATTGGCTGAAAACTCCTTCATAGACAGTGTCGTGTAAGCTGGTGCATTGTCCTGATGCAAGAGCCATATGAGTTGCAAAATGTGGTTTTTGTCTTGTTCATTCAGCCTTCCCAGCTTTTCCAAATAGTAAACTTTGTTAACTATCCAGGTGGTACAAATTCATAATGAACAAACCCTCTGATAATCAAAAAAGGTTAGCAACAGCCAGGTGCAGTGGGTCACGCCTATGATCCCAGCACTCTGGGAAGCCAGGACAGGTGGATTGCTTGAGTTCAGGAGATCAGCCTGAGCAAGAGCCAGACCCCATATCTCTACACCACCACCACCATCACAACTGGGTGTTGTGGCAGGCACCTGTAGTCCCAGCTACTTGGGAGGCTGAGGCAAGAGAATTGCAAAAGCCCAAGAGTTTGAGGTTTCTGTGAGCTATGACACCATGGCACTCTACTCAGAGTGACAAAGTAAGACCTGTCTCAAAAAAAAAAAAAGAAAAAAAGAAAAGAAAAAGAAAAAAGAAAGAAAAAAAAAAAAGGTTAGCAAGATTGCTCTGACTCTTGATGGAACTTTTTGGTTGTGGAGAATTAGCAGACTTCCATGGTGCACTGTGACACTTTGTTTCAGGGTCAGGCTGGTACATTCATGTTTCCATCACCCTTGGTAACATGGCTCAAAACATCATTTTCAAATCCTTTCCAAAAGGTCTTGGCAAACTTCGACTCTCCTTTGCTTTTGTCACCAGAGAGCTCCTTTAAGACCATTTTTATACACACCTTTTTCATGCCAAGATTTTCAGTTAAGATTTTCCTGTTTCTCTATTGATATTCACTTGGTCTGCTATGCTTCTTTCTCATAGTCAGTTGACAATTTTGATGCACAATCAATTAATTTTTGCAATATTTTTGCTACTTCTGCTCTTATTGGCTGCCCTGACCTCTCTTTATCAGTGATGCTTTCTCTCCCCTTAGAAAAACATTTAGTCCATTTGTCCAACGCCATTTTCTTCATGGCATTATCCTCATAACCTTGGACTAACATGTCCCTAATTTCACTTCCACAATGTGAATATACTTAACACTATTGAACCTTACTTCTAAAAATGGCTAATATAAATTTTGTTATATGTGCCATACCCCAATTTAAAAAACAGAACAGACAAAGCAGTAAGAATTTCTTTTTCTTTTTTTCTAAGACAGAGTCTCATTATGTTGCCCTGGGTAGAGTGCAATGGCATCATAGCTCACAGCAACCTCCAACTTCTGTGCTTAAGTGATTCTCTTGCCTCAGCCTCCCAAGTAGCTGGGACTACAGGTGCCTGCCACAACACTCGGCTATTTTTTGTTGTAGTTGTTATTGTTGTCTTAGCTGGCCCAGGCTGGGTTCAAACCCACCAACCTCGGTATAAGTGGCTGACGCCATAACCACTGGGTGTTGTGGTGGACGCCTGTAGTCCCACATACTTGGGAGGAGGCAAAAGAATTGCTTAAGCCCAGGAGCTGGAGGTTGCTGTGAGCTTTGACATCACAGCACTCTACAGAGGGTGACAAAGTGAGACTCTGTCTCAAAAACAAAGAATTTCTTAATTTTGAGGATATATTTGTTGTTGTTAAGCATATATAATTTATCCCTTTAGATTTATAATAAATGAGTGAAGTGCTAAAAAAGCTTAATAAGATGGAGACTTATATAGCAGAACCTCTGAATTGATGAGAAAAAAATTCAATGAATCACACAGAAAAATCATGGAAAAGCAAAGGTGAAGGAATGAAGTTAAACAAGCAGAGACTGGGCTGGTGTATCTAATTAGACAAGTGACACGTTTAAGACAAAGTTTAAAGAAGGAAAGTAGAGAGCAAAGAAATACCAGGTTGAGAAAAAAGAAGTGGGAATGTTAATATTACAAAGTAGAATTTAAGGCTAAACACACAAAACCAGTATAGAAGGACATTATATACTGAGGAAGATAAAACAATGATAAGAAACATGCACGAAACACAGCAGTGAAATACATACGGCAAGAAAGACTAGAAATCCAAAGAGAATTTGATGAAAAGCACAATTACAATGTAAGAATTCACTGCCTTTGCCAGTGAGGGGGGCCTAGCAGACAAATTCTAGCTTAAGACTCAGAAAAGCTCTCAGAGCCTCTACCCAAACTTCGGCTGTACGATTTTAAAAGAAGCAAGTCAATTTATATGCCAAAGTCCTTGATCAAAACCTAATAAAAGTAGAAGTTAAAAACAAAAAGGTGACCAAAAATTTCTTTGCTACTTGAAAATTAAGAAAAAATCTTCTCTGTCACTCTTGAATCAAACAAGAAAATCCAGAGCAAGTCCTGCTGTCTGGAGAGGAGGAGCTCAGGCACAACTGGAGGATGTGGACTCACTATTTACCTGCTGGGACTTTCAAACAAGGTAAGCAGAGATAAATCAATAAGGTAAGTTGGTAAAGATGAAAAGTTGAAGATAAAGCTGAGAATTGTGAGGCAGAAACCAGAACACACAAGTGAGTCCAGAGCTTGTCTCTCAAGTAGACCAGAGTTCAGGGCAGCTCTTCTGCAGAGGAGCAGACAGGAACGGTATCCAACTTTGCCAATGTGGCAAAGAGAAGACTGAGATCAAATGGCCTGTTACAGTGGAAGTTACCTTCCTCATGGTGGCAAGACCACAGCAGCCTTGGTGGCCCCAACCTGCAGTGTGGGTGCTGTGCCAGGAGCTGGAGGCACAGGTCTTCCCAGGCACTTCTGCCAATGAGGTGGGGGGAGAGGGCTGTGCCCAGGAAGGGGCATGGGGTGGTGCTTTCTGGTGCAGAGCAGCCCTGTGGGGTGGAGGGCGGGTGTGCAGGGGAGCAGGCACCAGGCCCTGTTATGAGGCCCTCTCTGCCCAAACCACAGGGGCCACCCTCTCTGCAGTTGAGCCTTGAGGAGGCCACAGGTACCCACGGTCTCAGCTTCCATTTTATCCTCAGGGCCAGGAACACTGACTCACGTGTAACCAGGCACAGGGGAGACACTGAGTTATATTCCTGGACGCTGCTGGCCAACTATTTGTGTTTTATGCTATACACTTTTATTTGCCATAACACTGTAGTATGTTTTATCTAGCAGACTAAATAACTCTTTTCCCTTCCGTAAAACTTTTTACAGTTGTAACTCCATCCTATAACCATTTTCCCATGAAAAAGCCTATTCTGATTTTTATATAGGTCACGTTAAAGATATGGTTAACGTGGGAAAACTGAAGTCTTTAAACACTGCTCTCTCCATTCACGAATGTACCAGTCTTATCCTATGCACTAAAGTACACTTTCTCAGTTTTTCTGTAGGGTCTTATTTGTCCCATTAGGCTCATTTCTCATTTAGAGGGATTCCCTTTACTACAATTTTGTTCTCTCCTTTCTCCTTTCTCTTTCTTTACTTCCTTGTCTCTTTCTTTCTGAAAGGGTCTTGTTCTGTTGCCCAAGCTGGAGTGCAGTGGTGTCTTCATAGTTCACTGAAGGCTCCAACTCCTGAGCTCAAATGATACCACTGTCTTAGCCTCCCAAATAGCTAACAGGCACCTGCCACCATGCTTGGCTAATTTGAAAAAATTTTATAGAAATGGAGTCTCCCTATGTTGCCCAGGCTGGTCTTAAACTTGGTGGAAGAGACCCTGCCATCTGTCACCCCTCCTACTCAGGCTCAGGCCTGTACTGCTGGCTCTCCAGCACATCTGATCTTCACGGAGACAGCCCAGCAGAGGGTGGAGGTGCTGTCTGTCTGTGGTGGTGGTGAGCATCCTGCTACCCAGCTCCCTGGGTCCACACCCCCCCCCACCAACTCCCAGCCCCCTAGCTAACCCCAAACCCCTACACCTGCAGAAACTTTGCAAGCCTGGCTCTCTTTTCATGCCACCTCGTGGTCATCTGACACAAGTCAAATGGTGCCTGTGACTACCGCTTGGTGCCAGGCACCATTCCTAAGACCTTTCTAGACCTGGCAGAGGCTTTAGCACCTGGGCTCCAGGGGACCAGCCTTTTGATAGTGCTCCATCCTCTAGAGACTGGGACATCTGCCTGCCATAAGCACACGGCAAACAGCTGGCAACTGACTCCATCAGGTGAGACTCATCTGAGTGCAGGGGCCCTCATCTGACAGAAGACTACCTACTATATTCCCATGTGGCAGTGGATCAATATTTCAAAACACAACTCACTCTCACACCATGGAAGATGAGCGGGAAGCCTTTCTGAGGTAACTTCTCCCAGCCCAGCAAAGAGGTCACCACTTTGGGGTCTGCACACACTTCCAGCTCCCTGTGATAGAATAGCCGTGAAGGCAGAGCCAACAGGGCCTCGTGGGATCTGTAGTTCTTCACGAGCTTCGTGACCTACAGGACAGGACAGGCAGAATCACAGGCAAATTATCACACGGGCCCCAATTTTTCCACCATAAGGGCAGCCTCTCCATGCCTGCCCACCCCATAACTGCCGCCTGCACCAGACCAAGCTCTCAGAGGACTTTTGAACCAAAGGTCCATTTAAGTAGAAAGGAGAGGAAAGGAGAGGAAATCGCTTTTTTTGTTCCTCTCCTGGGCCTGGACATAGCAGAGAAGTCCCTTAAATGGCAGCAGAGCCAGGTGGCCAGGCTGGAGGCAGGTGGACAGCTCCCTGGTGTGCTGCAGGCTCATCTTGATCTGCTGTCTTGCTATCCCAGGCTCTCAACAAAGCCCTGTGCAGCCTATTCTCAGCTTGGCTACAGGCAAGAACTCCCGGGCTCTTAGGTCATGGACCAAGTGACCCTGAGGACTCTGCCAGCCCTGAGCAGGCCTGGCTGTTACCTCACCAATGGATGTCACCAGTATGTGGAACAACTTCACATGGTACCTCCAGCTGGCCTGGGTGTCCACTCAGTGCAGGTATATTCCTCTTTGGTCCTAGTATAGGACACCAGTCAGCTCCATGACATCTCATAACCCAGGGAATAAACTTTAACTCTGTAATTAAAACATGTCCAGCCTCCAAGGTGCCACTCCAAACTCCGAATTTGATCTTGTATCATAATAGCTCTGTGTTAGCTGGACATGGGCAGGTAATAGGAAGGGGAAAGAACGCTTGCTGCCCTAGAGGTCCCCATGGCTTCAATGACTCTGGGGAAAAAGGCAAAAGGTGAGGCCGCTGGCCAGACCCTGAGTAGGACAAAACCTTTGTCTCCACTGTGTCAGGGGTCGGCCTGTACCTGTGGCCACAAGTTGAGAGTGTGCCTTGAAGGTCTGGGTGGAGAGGATGATGGTGAGTGTTGGCCTTCTCTGTCAGGACATATCAGCCTATCTCAAAGGCAGCACCCCCTCCAGAGAAGCAGCTGGTGGGTTACAGGGGCATATGGGTGTTTGGAGTGTGATATGCACCTTTTGCCGTAGCAATGCCCTTGTGGTGCTTCCAGGCCCAGCAGCTGTTTATAGCCACTGTCTTATCTTGGGGGTGGTTGTAAATGAAGCCTTCCTTAGCCTGAAAACCCCCAGCCCCTCACTGCTGGTAACTTAAGAACAGGTTCCAAGCATCCTCCCTGAAAACCTGCCCTAACCATTGCACCTTGTTGCCTGCCCGGTGTTGACACCAGTGGCAGCGTTGGATGGGACCCACCCTTCCATGTGCGCTACAGGAGATTAGAGAATAAAGCTGCCTGGCTCAGACAGGGATGGACCTGACAGGCTCAGGCTCAGGGTGCTAGGGGCTCCAAAAGATACTGATCCTAAAGTCCATGCCTCAGGTCTGAGATCAGCTGGGTGCCCAGAACCTACACTTTGATGAGCTGCGCTCTCAAGTAAAGCTGCAAAAGCTACTACCTATTTGTCCCATGTTACCAGAGTTATAGACTTGACTTCTGCTCTCTGATCCCACAGAATCAGACTATAGCGAGAACCCTGGGAATTCCCTCACCCACAGGAGATGAAAAAGAAGCATGTTTCTCAGCTCCCGGGGCTGGAGGGCAGGTAGAGTGAGACTCATCTAGGAGTGAGGGAGGTACGGCCGCATCCTTTATGTGTGTCTCTGATGTTCCTGCTGCCAGGCTCAGGGGCCAGGGAGGAGGCTGGGGGAGGCAGCTTTTCTGTGTGGGGGTGGACAGACCCCTCTCCTACACTCCCTGCTCAGGTGGAGGGACTCAGGTGGCATGGGGAGGGTCTGAGCTCACCAGCAGGGGGTTGTATGCGCCACAAGCACCAAAAGCAGTTTCATCCCTCAGATATGCTGGTCGGGACATCAGCCTCTCCAACATGGACACGTTCAGCCCATAGGCCATGGCCAGTCGGGACTTGATGACTGGGCCGAGCTGCATGGGATCTCCAGCAAGCACGATCTATGGCACACAAAGGGGCGGCTCAGCTCTTGAGGGGGATGGTCAGCAGCCATGTGGAGCAAGGGCTACATGGGTGGGCCAGGTGCCCCATGGTCACTCTGGCTGCAGGAAATTAGGGCAGACACAGCTAGAACTGCTACTGCAAAATGACAACAGCCTGGACAAGGGCAGCAGAAATGCAGGAACAACCAAGAAGGCCTCAGATAGTAGCTCCCTCACAGAGCACCCACTTCTCCCACTGTCCTGTACCTGCTCCTACCCATAGGCCGGCCTTCTCTCCTCATCTCCCAAAGAGGTAAGGGGCCTGGGGATGTGGCCTGTTTTTTTTTTTTTTTTTTTTTTT